ACCCCAGACACTACTCACCAAGGTAGAATGTAGCGCATTATCTTTATAAGTAGTGTCATGCCAATTGAGCTAGATGTTCCCTGAGACCATGGTCCCCAGTGGCTCTGACCTTTTATCTGTGATAATTAACAAAAGAATAGTAGCAACTCAACATTTATTGGGTGCTTACTATGTGCCAGGCACTGTGCTAAATGCTTTATATGCACTATGTTACTGACTTCTCAATCAACCCTATTTCATATATACCATTATTATCCTTATCTTACAAGTGATGAAGTAACAGCCCAGAGAGGGTAAGTCATCTACCCGAGATCACACAGTGAGTTGCACTATTTCGAGTGTCAGGCACAGAGCTTGGCACTTTATATTCATTCCTTCTAATCATCACAGCCATAATAATAATGATAGTTATCACTCTTCTGCAGCACTGAGAAAGCCACCTTTTCCCTTGATGTCCTGTGACATCCTTCCTTCTTGACAAAAAGGCTTTGGCTTCCTCAGATGCATGTGTGTGCCCCATGTCTTCCAGGGCACCTACACCTTCTCAGACGGGCTGCAGTATGAGCCTAAGAACTGGCATTACTGTGACAGCTATGATCGGAGGTTCTACACGGAGATTTGCAATGGCTTGAAGCCTGCAGGTACCCAGGCATCTTCCTTTTCCTTCACACCCAGACTAAGAGCGAAACTAAAGACAGTTTTAAGTCAGTGAGCCATAGCCTATTGAAAGTAACCCAAGGAAGAAGAGGAGTAGGTGCAGCAGGACACAGCCAGGTTCTAGAGCCAGAAAAGCCAGGACTCAGATCTCAGCTCCTCTCCACTAGCTGGATCCGTGGGCAAGGGACTTCACCTTCCTGTGCCTCAGTTTCTTCACCTACAAAATGGCGAAATAGCATCACCTACCTCACAAGATAGTTGTAAATAGGATAATTTCATGTAGTGTTTAGAACAGTGTCTTACACACTGGTAAGCACGCGGAAGCACACAGTACATGTCAGCTATTATTATTTGTAGTTCCATCTATAACACTAAAATTTGTGTAAATATTACAAAGAAAGAGGAGAGGGTGAAGGAGCAGCACTGACAGAGCATGTGCTCTGCATATCAGGTGCTGGGTGAGGGTTTCTGTAAACCCCATCTCATCAAATCTCCAGACGACCCTGCCTTCTTGGGCCCATGTCATAGGGGAGAAACCTGAGGTCATAGAGCCCAAAAGTGTTTCCCAGTGGCAGAACTCACACTGTAGTCCCAGTCTTCCTCTCTGAGGCCTCCTGTATCACACTACCTACATAAACCCGTGTTCCACTTTGAAGGGTTACATTTGGGCCTGGGGTGTGGATGCTGAGTGGCCTCCAAAGAGACTCACCTATATTCTGAGACTTGTGCAATGTCAGCTGAACCTCAAGAAAAGCACAGTTCTTGACACAGCAGAGACAACATATCCAAAATGACAGATGAGAAAATGACTTTATAAACTGTAAATATATTTCATTTAACTTAAATGGCTTTGTGGGAAGGTAGTTTAAAGTGCAACTGTAAAAAAAAAAAAAAAAAAAATCCCCACTTGAGTTATGAGAGATAATTTGTTGTAGTTGGCAAAGCATGGAGTTGGTAAACCTAGGTTTGAGTCTAGCATTTCCTCTCAGTAGCTGGATGAGCCTAGGCAAGTCAACCTCCATTCAGGCAGAAAGGTCCCCAAAACACCAAGGCACTGGAGTCAGGCAGACCTGAGTTCAAACCCTGGCTCCTCCCCTTTCTGCCTTTGTGACCAGGTGAGCATTCTTCTCTCCCTTTGCTTTCCTGACATTCCACTCTCCCATTTTTCTCCTTTGCCAGCTCCTTCCCCCACCACCCTGCCTCAATTATTAATGTTGGGGTTCCCCAGGCTCTCTGTCTTAGGCCCTCTTCTGTTATCATTCTATACCTTCTCCCCAAACAAGCTGGTTCACTTCCAAGCTTTCAATTACCACCAGCTTCCAAATTGAAATCCAAATCCCTGAGCCTCAGATTCCTGTGTCCAACTCCCCAGCACCTGTATTTGGTTATCCCTCAACTTGCCTGCAATGACTTCCAACTACCTAGTGATCACAACCCCAGTAAATGTCACTCATCCACTTGAACCTAATCCTCCTTACCCCTATCCAGCATATGCAATCAATCGCCTGGTCCTATGGATTCTGCCTCTTAAATATATTCATACATTTGCTCATTCAGCAAATATTTATTGAGCTGTGTGCTGGGTAGTGTCCTCTTCCTCCTCTCTGCCACTGTCCTCCCTTTTCCAGACCTCCATCATCTCCCCGCTGCATTACCTGATCTGAGGTCCACCCTTGACCTCCTCTGGTCCTTTCTCCATTCTGCAGTCACTTTTATCTTTTAAAACTGAGAATCTGACTATTCCTCCTTTCCTGCAACCCTTCAGTGCCTCTTTACTGCCCTAAAGATAAGCTTCCAACTTCTCAAATGCCTTACATTCTCTGGCTCCTGCTGGTGTCCCAGCCTCATCCCCTGCTGCCTGCCTTCTCTGATCTCTCTCCTCTCTGGCCATGCTTGCTTTCTCTCTGTTCCTTAAGAAACCAGGCTCTCTTCTGCCATTCCCTCTGCCCAGAATTCTCGAACCCTCTCACTTCACCCAAATAACTCTTTCCTATCCTTCAGGTCCTTTTTTCTGGGACCCCCTATGGCATATTACAGAGCACCCATATTCTCCTTCTGTGCCCTGATCATGGGTGTTTAGTATCTGCCTTCCCCAGCAGACTGTGAGCTCCATGAGGGCAAGGACTGTGCCTGTCTTATTCACCACTGCATCCCTAGTGCCTAGCACATTGCCTGGCACACGGTAGATACTTAATAAAAAGCTATTGTCAAACAGGGATAAAAGAATATTGACATCATGGGGGAGGGGTGGTAGAGAGTGAGTTTAGGAGAGTGAAGGCAATGACATTACAAACATTTCCTGAGTACCTACTCTGTGTCAGACCCGGGGCAGGCCCGGCGTCCCAGAGATGAGAGGGAAGTCTTTTAATTGCTCCTTATCCAGACTCAATTTGAGAACTTGGTAATTCACTCCTCCTGGGTTAGTTGTGATGAGGCTGCAGGCAAAGAGCCCTCGGCTTCAGGCCCTCAGTTCTCACATGGTGGCTGGCTTTGCCGAAGCTGGGCCTCTGCCAGTCTCGAAGGCAGTGCAGTGATGCTCCCTGCACCAGCCTGGCCCTTCCCCTTCTACAGTGGCTCCCAGGAGAGCAACTTTAGCTTAAGTAGCCATTTCCTTCCCAAGTCACTCAGCACTTTGCAGACCTCTCCAACAACCTCCTCCTCAACCTCCCCACAGCCCCACGAGGCAAGCACGGTAAACACAGCTCCCTTCTCCTGCCTGCAAGGCAAGGTGATGGTTAAGAGGGCCCCTTCAGCTCTCTGAGCCTCTGTTAGATGGGCATTGGCGTGAGGCTTCAGTGAGAGAATGTCTCTAAAGCACTTGGCACAGAATAGGTGCCCAGCAATCATTATTAACCAACATAAGAGCACTTACTGTGTACAGGACACTGAGCTATGAACATGGTGCTGTGCTCAGTGGGCATCCAGCCCTCAGTTCATTGCAACAGGAAATTACAGGAACTCCAAATTAGAAGGAACCTTAGAAGTTATTTATTCCAAACTTCCACCCCTTACTCAAGCCACAGCAATTCCAAGATACACAACAAATGGTGGCATAACCTGAAAGATGTCCTGACTCCTCTTTCTCTCCTGGGGATTTAAATGTCTGTGGTCCTGGGGCCTATCCCTGGGCTTCCTCCTCCTCTGATGTCAACAGCATAGGCTGCTAGGCTTGAATTCTGGATCTGCTGCTTCCTAACTAGATGACTTTGGGCAAGTGACTTCATCTCTCTGAGCCTCAGTTTTCTTACCTGTAAAATGGGTCCACAGGGTTGCAGTGATGATTAAATAAAATAGTAGGAGTCAAGCACTTAGCACAATGCTTGGAACATAATAAACACTCAATAAATGGCAGCTGCTATTATAATTTTGGTGACATTCAAGGCTCTCTATTACCAGGTCCTTGCCCACCCATCCCATTTCTTTCCTACTGTTCTCATATGCACCCTGCTCTACAAGATTTCCTGACTGAGGCATAATAGTTCATGCCTCTGGCCATTGCCCATTTTGAATGCCATCTCTGTCTTAGATCTGCCCCTCCTACCCATCTGAACAACTGATTCAACCTCAGGGTCTCTCTGACTGCAGAACCTGCACCCTTTGTCATAGTGTCACTGGAAATGGAGGATGGGGTTAAGGGAAGAAGGAGGGGGATCTAGTTCCCAAGACCCTGCTCACAGGGCCATTTTCAAAACATTCCTTTGGGGCATTGTTCCTGCTGCTGTCACTCTGTATCCTGAACCCAAAGCCAAACCCACTGCCATCAAGTCAATTCTGACTCATAGCAACACTATAGGACAGGGTAGAATTGCCCCCATAGGGTTTCCAAGGCTGTAAATCTTTACGGAAGCAGACTGTCACATCTTTCTCCCTCGGAGTGGCTGATGGGTTTGAACTGCCAGCCTTTTGGTTAGCAACTGAGTGCTTTAACCACTGCACTACTAGGGCTCCTCGTATCATGAATAGGGAGTGTTTATTCCAACAGTGGAACCAAAGATTCACATGAGCAACTAGCCAAAAGTGGACTTTATGGGGGGATCAGGTTTGGATTTGGCCCAGGTGGTAAATGTCAATTATGTCCTTTCAAGGTATCTCTCAACTCACCAACATGGACCCACCTAGAAAAATCCCTGAAGGCTGTTATGATTGTGGAGATGGGTTCTATGACCCGGTCACGAGGATAATCAAGGACTACAGGAATCGCTACCTGAGAAGTGCAGGTATGTTTATTCCAACATTCTGCAGCACATATTTTATCTTCATCCACACAGAGGTTTGTGCACACATGTGGACCTTTGGTGAGAAAGAAGCTTTTGCTGGTACCAGACAAAAAGTGATTATCTGAATGCTCTGCTACCTGGACTACTCATGGCTGGCAAGTATGTACTAAGTCTGCACATAGTCACAGTGAGATAAAGGATATTAGTGGTCTAATTGTGATGGCACATAAGTGTAGCACAAAGAAAGAAAGAAAATATTTTTCATGCATCCTTTCAACAACTATTTAATGAGCACCCACTGTGCTTGGTGCTGGGGATAAAGCAGGGAAAAGGTAAACACAAACCCCCTTCCTCAGGGAGCTTATATTCTGATAGGTAGCAGAGAAATACTATAAATGGTTGGTTACATCAGGAATAAGTACCATGAAAGGGAAAAAAACATGGCTCAGGTAGGGGGTAAAAGTGGGGTTCCCAGAAAAGTGAGAGTGGTGCTATAGGAGCACAAAGAAGGGGTACCTAATCCAGAATTGGAAAGTCAAAGAAGGCTTCAAGGAGGAAATGACATCCAAGCTGAGACCAGAAGAATAACTGGAAAATGGCCACAAGGCTAGGGGAATTTCCCAGACAGAGGAAACAGGATATGCAAAGACCTACAGGTGAGAGACACCATGCAGTCCAAGAAGGCTGATTGGCCCCTCATCCAGAGAAGTACCTTGGAAGGTCTAGAATCTCAGTTTGGTGAGTGAACCCAAGGCTGATCAGACTGAGAAGGACTGATTTAAGTGACCAAACTCACAGGAGGCCAATGTACAAATGAGAACATGAACATTTTTGTTTAACACAGTTATTCCTAATCTTTCTCCTTTATGAAGTCACAATCCCACTAGGAATAATAAAAGCTATTAACCCTGTCCCCAGAAAAATGCCCACACATGCACACAAACATGGCATGTGGATATACACACACTCACTCATGTACACACACTCATGTACACACACACACACACACACACACACACACACATAAACACACACACCATTTTGCATGTAATCTTAAGAGGGTGATAGTTCCTCTAAAGACCCAGGTTAGGGAACCCTCCTCTATAATGAGAAAGAAATTGCCAGGTACCGGAATGCCTGTGCTGGCTGGTGAGAGCATTCTCTTTCTGTAGGGAAATTTACTTGGTAAGTCAATGATGGTCAGAAGGTTGCCTTGTGGGGCTGGAATAACAGCAAAGGGAATTGATCAGCTGATCTTATGTCTGGAATCCTGGAGCTGAGATGCTGCCAACCTACTAGGCGCTACTGGAGGAACATGGAACATGCTCATGTTCCAATTCTTCTGGCTCAGATTTCTTTGATGATTTCCCCTTTTCCATTAACTTATTATGCCAGATGTTAATATGCTCACCATGAAGTTTCTTGGTCAAATAAGCAAAGGAATTGTTGAATTAAAAAAACGCTGAACAGGTGTATTTACTGAAGGGCTTCTCAGAGCTTTTAATATGCTAATATACTTTCTACTTTTCCTTCGTGGCGTTTATTTCAACTGGAATCAAATATGCATTTGTGTAATTATTTGCTTAATATCTGTCTCTCTCACTGGACTATCAAATCCATGTCAACAGAGACTGTGTGACTTATCTCTGCTTCTGTCAGTCAGGGTCTAGTGAGAAAAACAGAAACCACTCTAGGTATTTCAACAGAAGGAATTTACTGTCGGGAAGTTGGTAAAATGAGTGTTGGAGAACTGAAAGAGTAAAAGGAAGGGCATTGAGGTAACAGAAATTAACTGCAGGCAGCAGTTACCACCTCAAGGACTTGGGAACAAAAGGAAGAGATTAGATTCTTAGAACCTAAAAGATTGATGGAGGGACCCCAAGTTGCTGCAACCCAGACCTCCAAGAAGAGGACACTGCCCAGCTGGTGTGGTTTCTTAGGAGCTCAGAGGAGGGGCCCTGCAGAACTGGGACCCAGCCCCCTCTCAGGAGGGAGCATTGCCCAGGAGAGCCTCTGAAGAGAGAACAATGAAGCTGTTTCTAGCAGTGTGGAAACAAAATGGAAATTAGAAGTGAAATGCTACTGTTGAGATGACAATGACAATGAACAGCAAGAAAAACAGAAACAAGTGTGTCCCCTCTCCACCCTTCTGCCTTGCAGCACCTAACTGGAAGACAGCTGACAAAGTAGAAATGTAGTTCACAGTTCCAGTGCCACCATCAAAGCAGAGTACAGAAGGGTGGATAATCAGCAGCTGCATAATTTAGGCACAGTCTACTCCTTTTGTTGCTCAGCATCCATACACACTCTTCTCCATATATCTAAACTTCCATATAACCAAAAATAACAAATTTACACCTTTATCTAACAAGGTGCAACTGTCCTTCATATTAATACAAAAATATTCTCACCTTGAATGAAGAGAACAGGATACAACGAAAAGATTAGTCCGAAGGGCTAATTATCCACAGCTACCAAGGCCTCCACCGGACTGAGTGCAGTACGGCTGGATAGTGCCTGGCTTCCACCACTGAATGCTCTGACCAGGATCACAACAGAGGGTTCTGGACAGAGCTGGAGAAGGATGTAGAACGTAATTCTAACTCACAAAAAAAACACCAGATTTACTGGCCTAAAGGAGACTGGAGAAACCCCGAGAGTATGGCCCCCAGACACCCTTTTAGCTCAGTGGTGAAGGTATCTCTGAGGTTCACCGTTCAGCCTGGGAGTGGACAGCCCCGTAAAACCAAATGAGACTAACAAGGTACAGGAGTCCAGTGACAAGCGCCAGGAGGCAGAAGGGGACAAGGAAGCTGGTGATAGGGAACCCAAGGTTGAGTAAGGATATTGTTGATGTGTTGTGAGATTGTTAACCATTGTCATAGGGCAACATTTGTAGTAACTGTTAAATGAGAAACTATTTTGTTCTGTAAGTCTTCATCTTAAGTGAGAATAACAGCACAATTGGAAGAGCGTAGTCAATGGCACTGAACTGTGCATGTAGAAATTTTTGAAACGGTGTATCTTTGGCTATGTGTATTTTCACCAAAAAAAAAAGGTTGAGAAGTTAGAGGGTTGACATGTTGTGGGGTTGTTAACCAATGTCATAAAACAATATGTGTATTACTGTTTCATGAGAAACTATTTGTTCCGTAAGCCTTCACCTGAAGTACAATAAAAAATAAAAATAATTAAAAAAAAAATTCTCACCTTCTCTCCCAAAAAAGAGCCGTGAAGCCCCAATAAGCATTGTATCCATCTTTGAGTGCTGTTATTCCTTGAAAGTCCCACCAGAATACTCTGTAACCTATGAACTATTGCTATTACACCTTCTATAAAATAATAAGGGGAAAAGAGAAAAGAAATTGGTTAATACAAACAAATGTATATAGATAATAGATCAATAGATAGATTGATAGATGATATACACATACATACACGTGTAAGCAAGGAAGAAAACTCTGCTATAGTCCTCTTACTATAACTGGTCATGAGACCGTAGTTAAGGTTTATAAATTCCTTCTTCCGTTATTCATTCCATGCCCCTTTTGCCCATAGCCTGCACTTCAAGTGAACTGGTTCTTACATGGTAGGGTGACCCAAAACTTTATTCTTGAAAGGTCTGAATCTTTATTAGCTGTTATGGGTTAAATTGTGTCCCCCAAAAAGATATGTTGAAGTCCTAACCTCTAGTACATGCGAATGTGACCTTATTTGGAAGTAGGTTCTTTGCAGATTAATTAGTTAACATGAGGTCATACTGGAGTAGAGTGAATCCTAATCCAGTATGACTGATGTCCTTAGAAGAAAAAGAGAAGAGACACAGAGCAACACGGAGGAAAGTCAGCCATGTGAAGACAGAGACAGAGACTGGAGTTACGCTACCACAAGCCAAGGAATGCTTAGAACCACCAGAAGCTAGAAAAGGCAAGGAAAGATTCTTCCCGTAGAGACTTCAGAGAAAGCTTGGCCTTGCTTTCAGACTTCTATCCTCCAGAACTATGAGAGGAAAAACTTTCTGTTGTTTTTAACCACCTAGTTTGTGATACTTTGTTATGGCAGCCCTGGGAAACTAATACACTGGTTCTGCCATTTCAGTTGCTGTCTTTTTTTTTTTTTTTTTTTAATTTTACTTTTGCCGGTGGATGTACTAAAAGGTGCCGCAGAGAATCCCCTGGGTTCCATAAAGAGATCCGTTGCGCCCACTCTATGGCAGCAATTCAATTTCCCCTTGGCAATCAAGATCAATCACTCCAGCCAGGACAGTATCCCCTTCTTTGCCGGCTGTTTCAGTGGCATAAGGAGCCTGAAATGGCCAGGTGGCTGTTTCAACTTCCAATTTAATGAAACTATTGTTGTATCACCTGGTGAGACCATTCCTCCTCTTGAGTACTAAGACTTTTGAACTAGAAAAGTTCAAAGTTGCAGGGAAGGAAGGAAAAATTCTGCTTAATAACAGGCACACTGCTGTAACCCTAGCACCTAGCACAGTCCCAGGCACACAGTAGGTGCTCAGTAAGTGTATATGAAACAAATAAGTGAAGGAATGAACGCATGAACGCGTACTGTGAATCTCTACCAGGAAGATGTAGTCGTATCATTTCTCAAACTTATCTGACCATAAAATTAGTTGGGAGGTAGGGTAGTAGGGAGCATTTTATGAAACTGGAGTTCCAGGGAACATATTTTGGGGAATTCTGTGTTAGTACAGCCTGTACAGGCAGTCCCTGAGTTACAAACGAGATCCACTCCTTACTCTGTCTTTAAGTCAAATTCGTAGGCAAGTCAGAACAGGTGCATATGGTTCTTATTTAGCCTTCAGTGCAAGAAAAGGCTCAAAGCCTTCTCAATGATTTAAAAGCTGCACATGCAGCAAGTAAAGGTGACTGTGATGAAGAATTTGTTGTGAGTAGGGGTTAGTTCAGTTGTTTCAAAATGTGGACAAATTTGCATAACATCAAAGGGCAAGTACAAGTTGTCCATAAATCGGACATTTGTAA